AATATATCGAATGTGTTTTCAAACATAAGGATTGTTCTGTTTTGTTAATCCTTGATAAATGATGGTTAAAGTTAAAGGAAAGATAAATTGGTGCTGATCGTTTAGAAGAACATAAAGGAAATAGAAATATAACTGTTAATGATGAATCAGTATAATTTTTATTATATAATTAGGATAAGATGAAAAATTAGGTTATTTTTAAAAGAAAACAAAGTATTAATGAAATTGATTAGTTTAGACATAATTAGAAAACTTAAAGAGAATCTAAATAAAATAATTGATATTATAATTGCGAATTTACATTAATAGAAGAATGATTTGAATTAGAATAATGTAGATATTAAATATATTCAGAAGTAGAGGGAATAAATAAGATTAAGATTAATTCAAAAAAAAATAAAATAAATTAATAGACAAGCAAATACTTAATTTATGAAGATACTTTTCACACAAGAAATTAAATTAATATTAACCCAATCAGAATTTAATTCTCACTAATCTGTTAAATATAATTAGAATAAAAATTTGTAATGTATTAAAATTTGTAAATATATTATTAATAATCAATCTGCCAGGATATTAATTGTATATTAAACAAGTAAAAAAATTTGGTCATTACATATTTCAATATTATTTTATTGAATGTTTATTTATACATAAGCATTAAAAATCATTTCAGGAATATTTATCAAATATTATGCATTAAATCCACACTATTCATTTTCCTAAAGATATATATAGAAAACATTATATTACTTTCTTACTTCTTCTATTAATAATATACATATAATAAAATTATAATTAAATATAGAAATCTATATCTTTTTCATTTAAATTAAAGTGATTTTGAATAAAATATAATTATCTCTAATAAGCAAAAACTTCAAAATTTCAATATAATCAATAATAATTGAAGAAAAGCATCAATTTTTAATTATTTGGAAATTCATAAAAGAAAGGAAGAATAAATAAAGATAACTAAAAATAAAAAAGTATATTATTCTGATTGCAGATTAATAATTATTTGATCTAATTTATATAAATGATTTATTTCATCTAGTTATATAATCTTCATGACTAAGAAAATTAAAATAAATTTGAAATTGAACTAGAATATTTAATTATATTTTAAAAATAGTTTTTCTAATAATCAAATAAGATTTATCCTTTTAAAATTTTGTATTTAAAAATCAACTTTATTTTTTTTCAATCTAAAAATTATTTCTTAAATTTATAGACAAGGCTTTGTCCAATCTCTAATTATGGGGTCTAAAATAATGTATTAGGAATTTATTGTTGTTATATGGTGATAAGTAAATAAATGCATAATAATTATAATAGTTGTGGGGCTTGCGTTGCTAAGTTTATTTGAAATAATTTGTTTGCTTTATTTCAGGTTTATTTTTATATTTATCTTAGATAATCCAGGCAAGTACAAGCGAATCCTAATTATGCTATAATATATTTGCAGCATAAATATGTAAATGTTAAAGCTGTAAATTTTTTGGAATTTATCAATTATTCTTGATAAATTACAATAAGTATGAAATTTTAAATAGGTTAATATTAATTTAAAGAAAGATCTTTGAGCGAATCCACAACAGTGATGCGATTAATCTTCAAAATTTTTGATTATTATTATTGCAAAAAAGTACAAGCTTCGAGTTTAAGAATGTTAGAAATCAAATTTAATTCATTTCATGAAGGTAAAAAGCAACATAGTTTACCATTTTGGATTTGATAAAATTTAATTTGGAGGCTTTTTTATTAAAAATCCAGGTGAATTGAAAAATCTATGACGATGTATAATAATATCATCTTAATTTTATCAATGTTTTTATTAAAATTTTTATATATGCATGTATTGATGATTTTTATGTGAAAATAGAATAAATTGCATCATTTTTCTCTAATATTATCAGCCTAGTTCTAACCAATATCTCAATCCTTTCAAATTTTTATTAAAAGTATTAATCGAAACAATTCAGCATACATACAGGTAATCAATTTATTTGTTTGTCAAAATAGAGAAATGGAATTAAATTTGATGAATATTGATAAGATAAGTTGAAAAAATGAAACTCTAGTTTATTAGTAAATAAATTTCCACCCTTAACTTTACATATGGATAGAATATACGTTGTTTTATTAATTTCATAAATATTACTAATTAACAACTAAGCAATTTTGATTCGGTTGTGAAAAGTATCTGTAAAAAATTATGGTTGCAATTGAGATGATATTATTTTAGTATTAGATTCTTAAATATTAATTTTTTTAATTTTATTAAACTTTAATAAAAAAATAATTTCCAAGGTAAATTACAATTAAAGATTTAATACTTTGGACTCAATTGATGTTCTAATGCATAGAACTATAAATTTTGTCTAAATCTTTTTTAATTTCAACTTAATTTTTTAATCAGATAATTTTTATTTATAATTCTGGATTTATAAAAAGTATAAATTTTCATATCTTATCAATTACTTAAGGTTAATAAAATATGTTATTTTAAATTAAACAGTTGCTTTTGTCTTGAAAATAATGAGTTTTATTCTTAAAATTTATTATTGTTGTATTTAAAAAGCAAAAATTAACAAATTAATAGATAAAAATATTGTTTTAGGTTAATACTAAAAATTTTTAATCTAAAGAATTACTTTCTGATATAATCTCATATTTCTATTATTTTCAATATCCTATGTTTTGATTATAAAGTTAGAAATTAAAACGTTTCTCACTTTTTATGGGTCTTCAAATGTCAATTAAACAGAATCATTAATGAAAATTAGTGAAAAAATAAATATATGACTTATATAAAAATTTCTAATTAAAATGGGTGATATTTATAATGATTAATTTTGCTCATTATTTATTGACTTTTATAAATGT